GCATTGGAGTTCAAGACCACCGTCATAGCAATTGACCTCTCCCAGATCATTTTTGGCCCAACTTGGGACAGTGACCACATTCTGGATGTGGTTTTCTTGTCTGGTAATGTGATCTGAGAGAGGAGCTTGCCTTGGCCCTTCTGTCATAGTCAGATCACACCCTGGTGACTTAGAGGTTCCCTTATGCTCGCTCCCTCCATACAGCAGCTGGAACCATTTGATTGGTCTACCCCGGCAACTAATGGTTCTGCGGAGGCCCTGGTAGTTACCTAAAATAGTGAGATGGCTGGAGCTGTGCTTTTTTTGGTCCATCACTCCATTACTTCCCCATAGTTCCCAGAGGACTTGAGGCAACTGAAAAGGAAACACTTAGAATGCTATTGGAAGAAAATGAAGAACGAACATGACCAAACAAGAGCTAGAGCTGCTATCAAGACCTACCTCATAGGTGAAAAACAGTAAAGTGCCGATACTTTCCCACTCTTATTACATTCACAAAATGCCACCCAGCACTCACTTATAACTCCTCAGAAAGGGGAGTTTGGGGTCTCATCTGCAGGACCATGCAGAGAAATTTTCCATGCATCTGGAAAAAATAATCATCCATTTGATACCAAATGTGAGAGTCCTGAAGAGACGCATGGGGAGCATAGTTATCCAGTAATCTGGGAACAGCTTGATTCTGTCAGATCTGAAGAAGTGAACAGGATCCTCCAGAATGTAAACACTACCACCTATGTGTTAGATCAATGTTCCTCCTGGCTGGTTAAGGCTGCCTGGGAAGTTATGTGTTATGTGGGTGAATCCAAGCGATAGTCAATACACCTTTGTTGGAGGAGGTATTCCCAGATTCTCAGATTCCCAGAGACTTTGGTGACCACCTCCTCAAGAAACCATCAGTGGACCCCCTCCCCACTGTTCTAAAAAGGGTAGGTAGTTCAGAATGCAGTGGAGTTACAACTACAAAGGATTTTGGTGGAAACATATTATCTGGACCCTTTTCAGTAAGTTTTCAGGCCTGCATATGGAACAGAAACTGCATTGATCACATTCATAGATGACCTTTAGCAGGAGCAGGATGAAGATGATGCTTCCACCCTTGCTCTTCTTTATGTCCTGGCAGTTTTCCATACTAGCACTGATGATGTGTGTTATCTAGTTTGAGTAACAAAACATCTGCAAGAAAACAACCAAGCTCAGAAAGCACCAAGGACCCCTCATTTCAACCCTGAGCTACAAATATTCTCTTTATTGGCTTTTTCATTGACCATGGCATTATTTTGGGACGACTTAGGGAGTTGGAGTTGAGTGGCAGAGTTCTGCATTGTTTCACCTCAGAAGAAAGAGGCCAATCCCAATCAGTATTGATAGGGAGTAAGAAGTTTAGTTCATAGTCTCTGCTTTGTGGAACGCCACAGGGCTTGGTGTTTCCTCAGTTCATTTTCAACATCTACATGAAACCACTGGGTGAGATCATCCGTCACCAGTATGCAGTTGATACACAATTATATATATCCACCACCAGATGAAGTGAGTGATGCTGCGGACATTTTTTCATAGTGCCTGGAGGCTGGGCACCTATATGAGGAACAACAGATTTCAGATAAATCCTGGTAAAATAGAGTTGCTGGACCCCTCTGCATCCAGAAATTTATTATCTTTGATCTTAGATGTGGCTGACTACCCCAGACGTATCCAGGGCACATGGCAGCTGTGGCTAGGAGGGTACCATTTTCACACTTTCCTGGATAGGAAGGCTCTCTGCTTGGTCACTCATGTCCATGTCATCTCCTGTCTGGACTGCTGCAATGTGCTGAACATGGAGCTATCCTTGAAAAATATCCAGAAGCTTCAGTTGGTATAGAGTGGGCAATCTGGGTGCTCAAAGAACAGTGCATGTAACACTTTGCTGCATGAGCTGCATTGGGTGCCAGTTTGCTTCTAAGTCCAATTCAAAGTGTTGGATATGACGTTTAAAGCCCTACATGGCATGGGGCTAGGTTACCTACAGAACTATCTTCATCATATTGCATCAACATATCCCATTCAGTCAGGCAGGGAAAGTATTTTGCAGACCCCATTAGCTAAAGAATTCTGACTGGCAGGGACCAGGAAAAAAGCTTTCTATGCTATTGCCCCTATCTTATAGAACAGTCTTCCTCCAGAAGGGAGGCGGGCTCCCACTCTCCAGGCCTTTGAGAAAGGTGTAAAAACGTTTCTGCAGCCTTGCATGGGACTCAGAGAAGAACATGCAGCTGTGGGATTGGTTAGTGCCCTGAAAGCCCTTCCCTACTTTTTAATTAACTATTAACTTTTTAATCCTCCCTAGTATTTTTAAATTTAAATTCCATATACTGTTTTTATGTTTTAATATATTTTACTTGTACATAGCCCAGAATTCTCTCAGTAAAGGAGATAGGTGGTTTTAAAAAAAATTGATGGATGGATGGAAGGAAAGAAGGAAGGAAGGAAGGCAGGCTTCTCTTTCATTATACACAACTTAGGGTTAGACAAACCTCACAATTTAAGCAAAAGAGGAAAGTTTAAGTACACAAAACTGAGGTATTACTTTGATGCTTAGTTAAAATCATTAATATACATTAGCAAATTATCATTCCACAGATACAAATCTACTTAACATTATTGCTTAGTCAAAAACATTTCATCCTCACATTTAACACACTAATTATACTTAGTTCAAAATTTAAAAATTATTTTTGACATTTTTTACAGATGGAAACAATTTCTTGTCCTTGCATGGACAAATGCCAGTTGCAACTTGAATTTGTAGTTTTTCCAGGGACATCTTCCTTATTCATATTCATATTCTTCCTTTCTAGTTTCCTTCATCTTCCTAAGCAACATCTCTTTTTCTAGAACATTGTCTACTAACATTATAAATCCAAAATGAGTTTCTGCTTATTATTTTGCATTCCACTTTTCTAGGGTTTGACCTCAAGAATAAGACCTACTATATAGTATATACAGTATATACCTACTATGTTTTAACATAGTTGAAAAAACAGTCAAGAATATTTTGTAATTCATTCTTCTCTTTAATTCTTTTTTTGGGGGGGTAACAATCAGATTCACATTTAAAGGTATAGGAAAGGAAACATCTGTAATATTAATATTATGTACTGCCCAGTAGACTCAGTACCTAATGCAACATTTAAAGCAGTCTTTGTCTTCAGATTAAGTATAAGGCTATATACCAATAAAAAGCAAAAATTTGAAACAACAATATATACAAAAAAGAAGGTATTGTGGAGCTTCTAAAATAATTCATCAAAATAAAAAGCCTCAAAGAATCTTTCAATGAATGAATGTTTTATTCACATTTCATACAAACAGAGTTAGAAGATACCACTAATATCATCCACTCCAGCACTATTCAGTTAAGTGATCACCATTTTTTGATTATGTGAACAAACCGATTCCTAGGGGATTATGTTACTCCATAAAATATTTTTCTGGGCAAAAAAAATGAATATGTATATTTAAAAGTATATTTTTTCTTTAAAATTACACATATTATTACCAAATTAATTTTTTAAGTTTTTGCATTATTTAAAATATTTCATTTTTCTTATCTTCAATGTTTAACAAATTCTTCATAAAATAATAAATAAAATATGCTTAAATGACATGTAAGAGCAATGTTATTCATATCCTCCTCCCAGAACAAAAGCCTAGTAAAGAAATGAGGATTCTGCTTAAATCATTACTCAGTTTCTAAAACAATGAATTTTTTTCTTAATAGTTTACAATCTAGCAATATTTAATTTTCAATGAAAATTATTCATTTTTCACTTTATAGTGTACAATTCTCTTGTTTAACAGCATTGCCTAATCCAGCGATGGCAAACTTTTTAGAGACCAAGTGCCCAAACTGCAACCCAAAACTCATTTATGTATCGTTGGGTGCCGGGTGGGCGTGGCCCATTGGGTGGGCGTGGCTACGGTAACGGCAGTCTGGGTGGGACTAAAAAGTTCAATCAATCAATTCCAATTTTGTGAGATCTTTTTTTTCCAAGAGAAGTGGAAATTGATTGATTGAACCTTTTTTTTTTTCACACAACGACAGAGGCCTAAAGCGAAAAGGTTTTATAAAGCCCAGCTGAAGGCCTAGGACTGGGGCGAGGGCGCACGTGCCCACAGAGAGGTTCGCCACCAGGGCCTAATTTATGGGTTCTAAATATATGATACACGAATCCACCACATTTTGTCAGTTGGGCCACATTTCTAAGCAGTCTAAATAAAAAGTAATTTATAAGATAATTGTGAAGTATTGATTGGCTAAGAATGAGAAAATGAAGTTTCCAAACAGCATCTTACAACAGAAAACAAGTGGAGTTAACTATTTTCTTTGTAGCTGTTAATGTATTCAGTCTTTCAAGAAAGTTTGAAAAGCAATGGCATTTAAAGGATTAAAATATTTTAAATACTAAGACCTGATTCTATTCTGACTGGAATATATAATGCATATTGTCACATACAAAAATACACGTATCAACAATAACCTCTTAGAGAATAACAGATATAGTTATTTTATGGAATACTATTCAGGAAAAAAAAAATATGCTACAATACTTCTATTTCTTTTTTATACCGTTGTCTGTCTGCCTGTCTATCTATCATTCTTGAATATCTATCTATCTACAATATTCTGTCTGAAATTACAGACAGAAGTAGCCTCTCACTACAACATATGAATTCCGGCTCTCAGGAAAGTGTGAAAAATATAGCAATGAAATAATATCTCAGAAAGTATCAAGAATCACACAGCAAGAGATTCCACTTTTTTTTTTAATTTAAGCTTGCGGCAGGAAAATCTATGAAATTTGGATCCTAACAGACACTCAGTCGATATCCCTCAGCGGAGAAGCCATTTCCCGCTCAAAATTCCACCGATTTCCTCCACTTGAGGATCATCCCAGATATTTTTTTTTAAGAACTTGTTTAACCAATCAGCTTCCAGGAGTTAAACAGCCTCCACCAATGAAGAGTAGCAGACTATAGTAGGGGTTGGCGGTAAGGAACCGTTGCTCTAACGGTCGACAGTTGAGGCTACCCTCAAACGGGAGTTGAACGTCGAACCCTCGAGGGAAAGCAGTGAACCTCGTCATCTTCGTGAGGCACCATGGTGCGAAGTGGAACTTGGGTGGCTGGGCTTCGTTCAGTGGGGATCGGGATCTTTTAAGCCTCTTGGCATAGAAATGCTATGAGGGAATCGCGAGCGTAGGGTACGAGAATGATATGGTCATGGAGAAATGTTGCCTCATGTGAACTTTACCTCGGAGGCTTCTTATCTCCGAAAGGCGCGATATGGTCGAAGACAAGGCTTGCCTGGCGCTGTATGCTCTTGTATTTGGCAAAGCACGAGGGCTGAAAGGCCCTCCGTCTCGGATTTGCCATGGTGCGGAACGGGGGGGGGGGGGAAAGGGGGTGGAGAATATAATAGTCTTGGTTCTGAAGAACAGTGAACCAACAAGAAACGAAAGAGATCTGTTGCATAGAGTCCCATTTATTTGGCATCACAAGAGCTGTATAATAAAGTAAAAAGTAGTGTGAAGTAATGGCGAAAACGTATTATGGGATTGAAGTATGAGGTACTGCATAATTCAAGTTGAGAAAGAAATTTTATATAATCGCGTAGTAGGTACAGAAGTATGTGTTTAGTGGGCTGTAGAGAAAGCATACTCCTTAGCATTAAACCGTTTTCAAAGACCATTTTTTTAAGCTTGAGTGTTCTAAGGGCAATTGATCATTAAAATGCATATTTTAAAATATATTTTAGAAATCAAATGGGTAAATTATCAAAATATAGAGCTGGGTCAATATTCATTTTTGTGGTACTTCATTATTTTCTGAAATAAGCATTAATCATGCCTGTTTTTAAAAAAATTACGTTTTTTTAATAGCGTGAATGTATCTCTATCCACGTTGGACAAGCTGGAGTTCAGATTGGTAATGCTTGCTGGGAATTATATTGTCTTGAGCATGGAATTCAGCCAGATGGTCAGATGCCCAGTGACAAAACCATAGGCGGTGGAGATGATTCTTTTAATACATTTTTTAGTGAAACCGGTGCTGGCAAGCATGTACCTAGAGCTGTTTTTGTGGACCTTGAGCCAACTGTTGTTGGTATGTACAGTATAAGAGGTTGGAAATATGTTTCAAATGTGGGATCAACATGTGGATGATCAGAAACAAATTACATTTATAAAATATTTTCATTATTTAGAAGTAAGGAAAATAGGGATTTCTTCCTAAATAAACCTGAAATTTGATGAAAGCAATTACAAAATCATCCCTCATTAAGTGAAGTTTGACTTTCACACATTGACTTTATGAAATGAAATCCAGTTGTACATTCTGTTAACAAAAATGGTAACATAGGAAATGATTTCATTTATCCTCCCTTCCCTTATCTTCCATTATGATTCAAATTTTATTCTCAACACTAAATCACATTTTTTTTTTTTTTTTTTTATTGAAATTTTTCAAAAGTTTTACAAATAAAAATCCACCCCCCCCTCCCCAACCACCCCACCCCCCCCCCGACTTCCCAGAACTGAATATAGGATTATTTAACAAATATTTTAAAAATAACATTTGCAATTTATAAAATAATTAATAATAATAATAAAAATCACAGTAATAATATATATAGAAATAATATACATAACATAAACTTTAAAATGAATAATATATACTAAAAAAGAAAAAAAATAAAAAATAAAAAGAGAAGAGAGAGAGAGAAAGAAGAAAGAAGAAAGTAGACGAAAAATAAAGCATATATATATATAAAAAAAAAAATATATGAATAATAATACATTAAAAATGTATATATATAAAAAAGAAAAAGAAGAAAGAAAGAAAGAAAAAACAATCATTACAAATTATAAAAAGGCTAAATAATATTTTTCCATATCCAAATTATGTTGTATAAAATTTATCCATTTTTCCCATACCGCAAAAAATTTTTCTTGAGATTGCTCCTTTAAGAAAGCCGAAATCTTTGCCATTTCTGCCAAATACGAAACTTTATGAAACCATTCTTGTAAAGTAGGCAAAGATTCCTTCTTCCAATATTGTCCTATTAACAACCTAGCGGCTGTAATCAAATTTAACATCAATATAACCTCCTTAGCATCACAGTCAATAACAATACCTAGTAAAAATAATTGCGGAGTAAATTTTACCCTTCTTTTAAAAATTCTTTGAATATTCCACCATATCTTAATCCAAAAAGCTTTTATATGCTTACACGTCCACCAAATATGGTAATAGGTAGCATCCAAATATCCACATCTCCAGCATTTCGGCTGTAGATTAGGGTACATAATGGACATTTTCTTTGGGTCAAGGTGCCATCTATAAAACATCTTATAAAAATTCTCTCTTAAATTTTGCGCTTGTGTGAATTTAACATTTCTTATCCAAATAAGTTCCCAAGTATCCATTGAAATCGTTTCACCAATATTCTGTGCCCATTTAATCATACAATCTTTAACTAGTTCAAGTTCTGAATCTAATTCCACTAAAACCCCATAAACTCTCTTAATATGGGTTGGCCTTTGATCTCTTACTTGTTTTAAAAAAATTCCATCTTCTCTAAGCCAGCCCATTTTACAATCCATCTTCCATCTATCCACTATTTGTCTATATTGGAACCATGAATAAGTTAAGTTTTCATGTGTTAATTCTTCCAAAGATTTTAACTGCCAGTCTTGGCCATCCCATCTTAATAACTGTACGTAAGAGACCTTGTCCATATTTACCCCTTTCCTTATACCTTCTATGGCATGCCGAGGTATAGCCCATAATGGTATTTTGAAGTCACTTTTATAATACTTTCTCCACACTCTTAGCAAAGAGTTTCTTATAATATGAGACTTAAAAACCCAATCCACTTTTTTATTAAATATTAAATAGGCATGCCATCCAAAAAATAGGTCCCAGCCTTCCAAATGAAGTATTTCTATATTTGTTAAATTCACCCAATCGCTAATCAATGTCAATACTACAGCATCATAATACAATTTCATATTTGGTACCTTGAGTCCACCTCTCTCACGAAAATCTTGCATTATTTTAAGTTTCACCCTTGGTTTTTTCCCTGCCCAAACAAATTTATTAATACCTTTTTGCCATTCATCTAAATTACGTTCGTTCTTTAAGATAGGTAACATTTGGAACAAAAAAATAAACTTTGGCAGGACATTCATTTTAATAACTGCAATTCTGCCCATAAGGGATAACTGTAAATTATTCCAGTTTTTTAAATCCTTCTGTACCTCCATCCACAGCTTTTCATAATTATTTTTATACAATTTTACATTAGAAGCAGATAATGTAACCCCCAAATATTTTACCTTATCAACAATTTCAAAGTCTGTTAAGTTAACTAGAGCCTGTTTATCACCATTAGTCATGTTTTTAGCTAATATTTTGGTCTTATTATTATTAATTTTAAAGCCAGAAACACGTCCATATTGTTGAATCAATTGTAATAATTTCACCACCGAAGAAACAGGTTGAGACAAAGTAACAACCAAGTCATCTGCAAAGGCTCTTAATTTATATTCTTTTTTATTAATTTCTATTCCTTTTATTTCTTGAGACTCCCGAATTTTAATCAACAAAATTTCCAGTGTTAAAACAAACAATAACGGAGACAACGGGCATCCCTGTCTTGTTCCTTTTTCTATTACAAAAGCCTCTGACAAACCCCCATTTACAATAATTTGAGCAGTCTGTTTTTGATATATATTGGATAATACTTGTAATATATTTTGTCCAAAATTCATCTCCTTGATTAAACACAGCATAAACTGCCAATTCACTTGATCAAAGGCTTTTTCAGCATCCAAAAATATCAAGCCTGCAGAGACTTGGTTATTCTTTTCTAAATACTCTAATAAATTAATAATTTGTCTAACGTTATTCTTCATATACCTTCCAGTTATAAAACCCGATTGATCCCTATGTATAAACTGCTGCAAGATCCCCATAAGCCTGTTAGCTAAAATTTTTGCAAAAATTTTATAATCCACATTTAAAAGAGATATAGGCCTATAATTTTTAGGCAAAGTAAGATCTTGACTATCTTTTGGAATCAATGATATAAATGCATTACGCCAGGATGGAGGGATCTCTAACCCCTGTAATAAATTATTAAACAGTTCACACAACGGTTGAATCATCTCTTCTACTAAAGCTTTATAATAAATAGATGTCAACCCATCCGTACCCGGCGCTTTGCCCAATTTCAATTGTTTAATAGCTGTAACAATTTCTTCCTTAGTAATTAAACCGTTAATCTTTTTTTCCTGATCTTCTGTTAATTTAGGAAAGTTGACTTTGCCTAAATAATTATTTATATCTGTAATTTGAATATTGGTACCCTTATATAATTTTTGATAGTATTCTAAAAAAGATTTCTTAATCAATTCTTTCTGATAAACCAATTTACCATTATAATTTATTTTATCTATATTCCTCTGTTTCTGTTTTTTTCTTAACTGATAAGCCAACCATCTCCCTGGTTTATTAGCATTACAAAATGTATTTTGTTTCATAAATAGCAAATTAGTTGCAGCTTGATCAGCCATCAGCATGTTAAATTGTGTTTTTAACAATTTTAAAGCTCCTTTAATCTTTTCATCTAAGGGATTTGAAATTAAAAGTTTCTCTTTTAATTTAATCTCCTCTTCCAAATCTTTCCGTTTCTGAATCTGTTTCTGTCTATGCAAATTATTCATTTTTATCAAAATACCACGCATAAAAGCTTTACTTGCATCCCAGACCATTGACATTGATGTTCCCTTGTTCATATTTAAAGTAAAATATTCCTTTAAACATTCCTTTAATTTATGAACATTTTTTTCTTGTTTAAATAAATTCTCATTCACCCTCCAGGATCTCCTATCTTCCTTCTCTACAAACAGTTCCATCCAAACTGGACTATGATCAGACAATGTCCTAGGAAAAATTTTTACATTCTTCACCCTGTTGTATAAATCTGTTGTGATCAAAAAGAAATCAATTCTTGAGAAAGATTGGTGTCTATCTGAGAAAAACGTAAAATCCTTTTCTTCTTGATTACGTTCACGCCAATAGTCTCTCAATTCCCAATCTTCTTTCATGTCAAAAAAGGCTTTAGGTAATTTAGCCTGTTTAAAAAAGGTAGAAGAGCCTTTTTTGTCCATTTGTATATCTAAGACACCATTCCAGTCTCCCATTAAAATCACGGATCTATAGTCCAACAAAGTTATTTTCTGATGTAGTAACCTATAAAATTGCTCCTGTTGCTGGTTTGGTGCATACAACCCCACAATAAGAATTTTCTTGCCATATAAACCAAGTTCAAGCATAACATATCTTCCATAAGGATCTGATTCTAACAAGGTAGCAGATAAATTCTGTTTAACATAGATTACCACACCCCCTTTCTTCCCAGGGGCGGGAGATACAAAATGAGATCCCAAGCGAGGATTATTTAAATATTTTTGATCTTTAGCTGTAATATGAGTTTCTTGCAAGCAAATAATATCATTGTTGTGTTGTTTCAAATAGTGGTAAATTTTTTTTCTCTTTTGAGGAATGTTTAATCCATTAACATTCCAGGACAGGAGCTTTGCCATCTCCCTTGGCCTTCAGCCTGGAGAAGATCCGCTCAAATTCTGCTGCTGATGAATATGTAGCAGAGCTTTTGGGTCTTGCTCCTCCCACCGGCACTGAAGCAATTTGCTGAGTAGATTCTTCAATTTCTTTTTCTTTTTCTTTTTTCTGTTGTTCTTTTTCTTTACGTTTATGTGCTGCACGGGTCATTCTCTGTTCTTTAACCTCTGGTTGAGACATCCATACCACCTGTCCAGCAGTCATCATCCCTGTACCTTCAGATTTCTGTTCCATCTCTTTGTCACTCAAGACTTTATGCATCATGGGCAAAGGAGAGCCTGCTCCCAGGACCGTTTTATAAAATTCCTTAGCTTTAGCAACTGTATTAAGTCTATAACGTGTCCCCGCATGGCTCAAAACAATGCCCATCGGAATCTCCCATCTAAATGGCATTTGTCTTGCTTTAAGTTCATTTACTAAAAAAGCAAAATCTTTTCTGCTTCTTAAAATTTTAGGTGGAATTTCCTTTAAAATAATAATATCTTGGGCAGCAATCTGAAATCTTTTATTATAAAAAGTTTGTAGAATCTGATTTCGCAAAGACTTCTTAGCAAAATATATCACCACATCTCTAGGCAAATTCCTCTGTTTTGCAATCCAAGAATTAACTCTATAAATTCTTTCCACATCCCCACGTAACTCTTCTTTATCAATATTCAAAATAACAGCCAAGTCATTAATCACCATTTCCATCAAATCTTGAGTTTTATCTTCTTTCAGACCCCTTATTCTCAAAGCATATTCCATCTGTCTATACTGGAACATAAGAATATCATCTTGTGAAGTCTCCACTTTTTTCTCCATATCTTGAAATTTATAATCCAAAAGTTCAACTGTTTCTTCAATTTCCTCTACTCTGGAGTCCAGCTTCACAACCACTGAGGCCATTCCAGATAGAGCTAGAAGTATATCATCCCTCAAAATAGCATTATTCTGTTCTAAAAGCTCCTTCATCTCTTTCTTCATTTCCTCCTTAGTTTCAGATTTATTCTGATCCAAAAGTTGTTTCATTTCCTCCCTAAACTGTGAGACAGCACTTACCATTATTTCTTTAATGTCTTGTGCTGATGTGCCAGATGGGGGAGGTGAAGGTGGAGTAGATTTAGGTTGCTGCACTGAGGGTATTATTTTAAGTTGTTGTTGCACAGTAGAAGTAGCAGGAGAAGAAGTTACTTTAGAAGCTGCAGTAGCTGGTTGTCGTTTTGAAGCCATTTTAATTTATCTTCCTTTCTTCTTAAAAATACCAATAAAAATAAGTAATCCAAAAAAAAATTAAAAATAAGATAAAATAGAATAAGATAAGATCAATCTAAAAGTCCCCAAGAATAAAAAAGTAAAAAAAGTAAAAAAAAAGCAATATTAAACAACAATTCAGCCGATCCGTCTTTTAAAGGAAAAAAAAACTTTCAAAACGCCATTTTACTTTCACTCTCACTTTTCCGCCCAAAAAAAAAAAAAAAAGAGAAAGCTCAAAAAAATAAAAAAAAATCAGCAGATACTAAATAAACTAAATAAACTAAAAAAAATAAAATAAAGCTAAACTATAAATAAAATCCTTTAAACAGTTCTGTCCGGTTTAAGATTACTCACGGTTTCTTTAAGTACGGAGATGGTAGCGGCGTCTCGCTTTGTTTCCGAAGAAACAAAGACAGCTGAGAGGCGGAGAAGGCAATGAACTCCGAGGGAACCCTCTTTCTACCCCCCTAAAAATAAAAATCCAGGGAGAGTTAAGAGGTTCTACCTCTATTCATGCGATCTCTACCCCTTCCCTTCGCCCGGGAAGGGGATTGCGAGCCGCGGGCCAGCTGATAAACGCTGTGCTCCGCGGATCTGACACCTTCTCAGGAGGACGGCTACAAAGTAGCCGCCATCTCCACCGCTTTAACCACCGGAAGTCCCCAACACTAAATCACATTTTGAGGGTGCATGAGGAGAAAGTAATGGTTTGGAATATAGCTTTTATATGAATATGTATTAAAAAGAATAACGAGTTCACTGCTCATTTTTTAATGTTTTTTTTTCTTACCAAGAAAAAAAAAATTGATGTATCCATGTAGTCATCTGAAATTGTGCAGGCATTATCTCTTGAACTAACACATCTTTTCATGCTGAGAGTCTTCTATCTGTCTGTGTATGATTAATTTTAATTCCTGCAAAAAGAAACCCTATCTTTTGTTCAGAAATATTAGCCAGAAATGATCTCATACAAGTATCAACAGTGTTCTAAAGTATGTAATGGTTTTGGATAATGTGAAAATATAATTGTATATATGCTTAACAAGAACAATTGAATCACTTCTAACTCGGTTATTCTATTATATATATCATTTCTGAGATTTTGGAATATTAAAAATAATAAATCACTGGATTTTGAATTAGAATTAATCAAAGTTTCATTTTTTTAATCTTCAAAGATGAGGTGCGTACAGGTACTTATAGACAATTATTTCATCCTGAGCAACTCATTACTGGAAAAGAAGATGCTGCTAACAATTATGCTAGAGGCCATTATACTATAGGAAAAGAGATTGTTGATCTAGTGCTGGATCGCATTCGAAAATTGGTGAGTCATTATAAGATGTAAATTAGAAAATATGTGCAAAAATATGAAATGTGAAAATTTACCATTTTAAAGTCAAAAGCATAGAAATTCTAGTTTTATTTTCAAAAGTACCATGTTTAAAAAATACTTGGTCTGTTTAAATAAGGAATGCATATTTAAAATTTAAATATACTATATTAATTTTTAATTTAATTAATTAAAACCCTTTGAAGGGTATTGATAATGCAAATATTTTTAAATGACTACCATGGCAGATAATATCTACATATTAAATTTATATTTTTGAAATTATTCTGTTCAATGGCTCACTTTTTGTTGGGTTTTGGGGGGGATTGTCTTTTTGTAGGCTGACCTGTGTACTGGTCTACAGGGTTTCCTTATTTTCCATAGTTTTGGCGGAGGTACTGGCTCTGGATTTGCATCTTTGCTAATGGAAAGACTGTCAGTTGACTACGGGAAAAAATCCAAACTGGAATTTGCAATATACCCAGCTCCACAAGTATCTACTGCTGTGGTGGAGCCTTACAATTCTATCCTTACTACACATACCACATTGGAACATTCTGACTGTGCATTCATGGTGGATAATGAAGCTATTTATGATATATGTCGACGCAATCTTGATATTGAACGTCCAACTTACACCAACCTCAATCGTCTCATTGGTCAAATTGTATCTTCTATCACAGCTTCGCTACGTTTTGATGGTGCTCTGAATGTAGATTTGACAGAATTTCAAACAAATCTTGTTCCTTATCCACGAATCCATTTCCCCTTGGCAACGTATGCTCCTGTCATTTCAGCTGAAAAGGCATACCATGAGCAGTTGTCAGTGGCTGAAATTACTAATGCTTGTTTTGAGCCAGCTAATCAGATGGTAAAATGTGATCCTCGCCATGGTAAATATATGGCATGTTGCATGCTGTACAGAGGTGATGTTGTGCCAAAAGATGTCAATGCAGCTATTGCAACAATCAAGACAAAACGTACTATTCAGTTTGTGGATTGGTGTCCAACTGGGTTCAAGGTACTATATTGTCTAATATAAACAAATTAAGTATAATCTTGGTGAAATCCAATGATTTGGCTGGAACTTAATATAAAAAATAATAAAAGCAAGAAAGAAATATAATCTAATAATACATAAATAAGATTGCATTTAGTATCCACATGAAGGGAAATAGTTTTTTCTTGTCCAGATTAGATGATAGATGCTCCTAGTTCTGGAAATGTTGATCAGCATTTATTTATTGGTTAACTAATGTTTGTGGTGCTAACTGTAGAGTATATGAAGTATATTCAGATATATGAAACTTGAGTAGGTGTTTTAAATTCTTTTATGGTTTTAAAAAATAACTGAAGATAGCAAACACACCGAATAGTCCTCCCTCTATTTGCTGTACAACAACCCTTTGAGATGAATTAGGCTGTGAGAGTGGGACTAACCCAGGGGTAGGCAACCCAAAACACTTAAAGAGCCACTTGGACTTGTTTCCCACCAAAAACAAAACACTGGGAGCCGCAAAACCATTTTGATATCTAAAATGAAGATAACACTGCATATATCCTTTTTTACCTTTATTATAGGTGTGTGTGTGTGTTTGTGTGTGTGTATGTGTGTGTGTGTATATATATATGTATACACACACACACACACACACACACACACACACACGTAAAAAGATATATGCAGTGTTATCTTCATTTTAGATGTCAAAAGGGTCTCTCTCTCTCTCTCCCTCTCTATCTGCCCTTGGTCTGCCACTCCTCTTCCCCCACTCTCTTTCTTTCTCTCTCTTTCCTCTGTCTCTCTCTCCCTCTCTCTCTTTCTCTCTCTCTCTGTCTCTCTCCCCCCCCTCCTATCTGCTGCTCACCTGACAAGCTTCAGGCTGTTGTCCAACAAGATCAGGGGTAGTCAACCTCGTCTCTTTTATGACTCATGGACTTCAACTCCCAGAATTCCTGAGTCAGCCTAGCTGGGCTAGCTAGCTCTCTCCTGCCCTTCCTGCAGAGACGCAACAAAGGGGGGAGCTCCGCCCAGTAAGCTTTTCTGCTCCTCAGAGAACACTGTGAGTGCACTCTCTTTTTTTTTATACACACACACACCAAAAAAAAAAAAAAAAAAAAAACACAGAGAGAGAGAGAGAAGCAGGGAAGCGCAATTCCTCTCTCTGTCTCTGTCTCTCTCTGCAAAGGCAGAGGGGGCTGGGAGCCGCAGGGGAAGGCTCAAAGAGCCGCATGCGGCTCCGGAGCCGCAGGTTGCCGACCTGTGGACTAACCCAAAGTCACCCAGCTGGCTTTCAGTGAAGTAAATCATGTCATTACATGAACAGTTGTTTCTTTACAAGATAGATGGCAAATAAATTCAATAAATAAATAAATGCATTTTCAGTTATTAAACTCTGGTACAATCATACTTAGGATAAATAATCTGTATTCTAAAAGCTAGTGTGCTTATTAGAGTTTAAGTATATTTAAGGGAATTAAGACTTAATTCCATTTATTAATGTGTATCTGTCATGATAAAAGTGAGGCTATTTGCATAGATTAGGGGTTTTATTATGAGGTATATGTGAATACATTCTCTTTCCAGCTTTAGCTCCCTTTCTGATTTGAAGATAGTTTCATATCTAATTTTTTGTTTCCCATTATGCTTTTATCAACAAAATGCTGGGGAGGGAGAGAAGAAGTTGACATTTGAAAATTCCTTGCACTATTGAGAGAAATTTAATGAATGTTTTTGCTTTCCTTTAGGTGGGCATTAATTATCAGCCACCCACTGTGGTACCAGGAGGAGATTTGGCCAAGGTGCAACGTGCTGTATGTATGCTGAGTAACACTACTGCAATTGCAGAAGCTTGGGCTCGCCTTGATCATAAATTTGATTTGATGTATGCTAAAAGAGCCTTTGTGCATTGGTATGTAGGGGAAGGAATGGAAGAAGGAGAATTTTCTGAAGCTCGAGAAGATCTGGCTGCACTTGAAAAAGATTATGAAGAAGTTGGTGTTGATTCTGTGGAAGCTGAAGCTGAAGAAGGAGAAGAATATTAAGCTATGTCAGATGATATATATTTCAATATTTTGTACCAAGTTCACTTGTTCGGTTACAAATAAACTTTTAAGTGTTCAAGTTTAATAGCTATTATTTAAAATAGCTTTAAAACCATTCCTTGAAAACATTTCTATAAACTTTGAGCAAAGCATAAAATAAAAGTTTTCTGTAAAACTACGCCTGTCAGAAACATATCCATCCATTCTTTATTTCTCCCTTTCATTCTTACAGAATCTTTGGAGAACTTATTAAGTATTCTGAAATAGTCATTAAAATGTTATTGCATCTTAGCCATGTATGTATATAATGAAAATGATAATTGGGATGTCATTGATTGTAGGTGGAATTTTATGTTAATTAAAGTAATGTGAATAAGAAAATCTTGTTGCAATCTTATCAATGAATTTGGTCTAATCTGGTTTCATCTTCACGTTATCCAATGCATTTTCAGAATAGGGAGATTATAAAATAATACAGTATTGCAGCTTTACTGGTCTTTAGTATGTGAAAATTAAAGTTGATCATAATTAATCAACTTTAAGCATATTAATCCTAAGAGACACTAACACAAACTTGATTTACATTGAAAGAAATATTTTGGTACTCATATTCTGCTAGCTGATTAACATCTTAAAAATTTAAGCCCAGCAGTAACACATTTTGTGGTAAACTCTTAGCTATATCAGATTTCAAACTTTTCTATCACTTAATAGTAAAGGTCTGAAAACAGAATAGCATGACAGCCTGAAGTTATGCAGTCTACTTAATTGGATTACAAAAAAAATGAAATTGATTGGCTTGATCAGTTCCATGGTAAAATTAATTTATGTGCATGCATTAACTATCTTAAATTACAGATAACATAATAATTAGACCTACATATATTTATTGAGAAGCCCTATTCAGTTCATTGACCTTTTATTTTCAAATCAAGGAATTTACTATTTCTGTCCTATTTCCTCACAGTTATCCAAAAACAACTTTGATTGCATTTCATATTAGGCCATGTTCAGCTGTACAGATCTCATACTGATTTTCATTTGGGGTGATGGCTTGGAATTGAAAGTGTCAACCTCCCCCCCCCCCATCACCACCCAAGTGAGCCAGGATGGGTCAGTTGAGTTCTTAATACCATCACCTTTTCAGGATTAAAGTAATGTTTCTGTCCTTTTTGCTTAAATGTTTTCTGAATATTTGCTTCAAGGCCATTTCCCTGGCTCTCTACATTTGTCAAGCAAATATATGTCTGGAATATTGCTACATAAATAATAGTTACCAGTGATAGTATTCATTTTTTTTAATCAATACATCCTTTTTACATTTAGGGGTTGGTATATTAGCTTCAATGTATTATAAGCTGGAGGGCCTGAACAATTAAATATATGGTAGCTAGTTTAATTACAATATTGTACTCAACACATTGTTGGCACTAGTTCCTCATTAAATTGGAAACTTAAATAGAATACTATAAAGTTCAATCCTGTCCTTAATCCAGTAAGAAGTAGCGTGAAGAGGTAGAGATGCTTATCAAATCTGCAGATGAAGTTAAATTGGGTGTAATACGATAGAATTTTCAAATTTTAGACTATGGAATTTTTCTAATTCCCTGGAATGCATGGTCAAGAGGCAAAACTTCAGTGGCTGAAAATAGGTTATATTTGAGTGAACCTTTTCCCCCTTTAGTCTCAGAATCCTATTGTCTATATATTCCCGATGAGATGATTTTTGAAAACCTTAAATCCTCATGAATTTTTTTCTTGTTAATACATGACTGCTCATTCCACAATATTGGTCTGCATGGATTGTCATGAGAAGTCAATTTTGTATTTCAATAGCATAGCTATATTGTGTTATTTGGAAAATGTGATACTATATATAAATCCTTTATATAGTGCTTTTCCTATTGCTTTACTATTAAGGCTACAGCACAGTTCTTGTGTTTCATTTAACTCACACTGTTTAACTTTCATGACCTCAAGTTCAGTGTTTTATATGGCAATAGCTGAAAATTCAAATTAAAAATACAAGGCTGGTAAAGAATGAAATAATGAAAAAAAAACTAGATTATCACAATTATGTGCCTTCAAGTCTGTCATCTATAATAACAATAACGTTGGAAGGGACCTTAAAGGTCATCTAGTCCAACCCCCTGCTCAGGCAGGAAACCCTATATTTCAGACAAATGGCTGTCCAGTCTCTTAAAAACTTCCAGTGTTGGGAGCATTCACAACTTCTGGAAGCAGGTTGTTTCACTGATTAATTGTTCTGTCAGCCAAATATCCACCAAATAAATCTTCAAGTTCATCTGAGCCAATCTGACCATTCAGATTTTCTAATTAAATACCCATTACTATGATTGAATCCATCCCACTTTGCTATTAATCATTCTTTTCTTCTTTCACCTTTTTTAGGGTTATAAATTTTTCAAGAGAACTAGGTCTTTAAATAGTACATCCAAAATATAATTTCTGGCTGATAACTAGTACACATTGCTGTGAAAACCTGAAAAACCTTCAAACTTTTTTTCTATAAAACCCTTAAAATGTTTTCCTCCAGGAAAACAAAGCAATTTAGTAAAATATTTTATTATCTTATGTTTTTCTAGATAAAATATACAAAGCATTAAATGTTTACTTTCATCCCAGAGCACCTTTTCCCAAGCAAATGTCCATCCTTCAAAGTTTTGACATCTGAAAGACTCCCAAGTAGGTTGGAGATGGCTATTCCATAGTAATGATCTTCTGACTGTTAAAATCTATGTTAGTTTTTTCTTTAAAAAAAGTAAGCATTATCAACATGGTTTGGGTTTTCCACAATTTAACACGATCAAAGAAAATTATTGGTTGAGATAAAATTAGTGGAAAATATTATTAAACCAAGGTTTAAATATTAAGTTGGAAAAATATTTTATTAATACTGCACTCTTGTATACATTTTACATACTCAGCAGATGTTCTTACAAAGAAGTAGCTCACACAATATTGTCTGAAAAAGGCCAAAAGACACAAAAACAATATGTCAAAGTTTTCTATTCCAACTTTTCTTGTGCTTTTTTCCTTTATCGTCCTGTTCCCAGCTCTAGACTTAAAGGACATCATGTATTCTGAAAAGGCTATACTATATTATGTTTTTTTATTATCACTCTTCACTATGAAAAATTAATGAAAATTAATATATAAAGCACTGGCCCAGTATTAAACACCAGTGAAATAACAATTTAGCAATAACTATGATAGGGTTTTTTTTCTTAGAAATTTTCTTACAAAAAGAAAGAAGCAAAACCCAAGATACAAAAACATCTAAGTGGCAGTTCTCACAGTGGCTGGCAAATTGCTGTATCAACCACAAAAGTATTTGCAAAATGGCGAATGTGATGACACTTCTCAGTAGCTCGTTGATGGATATCTGGAAAAAGAAACCAGAAAAGAAAGTCAAATTAAGTAGGTGTTTCTTAGAGACAAAAGAAAAGAAATGCAATCATTTAACTTCTAAATTAAGTATGTAGAAATAAGAGCACAAAAACAATTCAAATCATAGAAAGGATCACAAACATTAATATGGTCACGTATTAAACCCAGTTCTCAAAAGCTGTTTTCTCACTTTACATGATTTACACAGAATAAAATGTTCTGATCCAAATACACTGCCAAAATATAACAATTTGTTACAGAAACAGCATCTAGACCAGGGCTTTTCAATCAGTGGTACGGGTACCATCTGTGGTACATTGGTGGCACCTGGCAGGTGGTACGTGACCATCCTAGAAAAGTAGCAGGAGAGGGGAATGAGCTGAAACGGTGGCAGCACCGCGCACGCCGAGTGAGAGATGACTGGAGCTGCAGGGCTGTCAGGGCTCAATAGGCACCAGGATCAGTGCCAGGCTCCAGCTGATCAGTGCTTTGGGGCTGTCAGGGCTCAATGGAAGCGCCAGGATCAGCGACAGGTTCCAGCTGGAGCTCGGCACTGATCCTGGTGCTTCTGCTGAGCCCTGAAGAAGCACCAATCCACTGGAATGTTGCAGCATCTGCAAGGTCCTGTGATTTACATTCAGATGCTTGGCAACTGATTCATATTTATGACGATCATAGTGTCCCAGGATCATGTGAAGTGACCAAAACCTGCTGCAACCACCCAGATAGGGGGAATAAAAACCAAACATCCCCCTACCCCACTCCTGCCAATCCTCAACAGAAATGGCCACAACAATGAAAACCTCAGACAGGAGGAAGAGCGCCGCCGGGCGGGCAGGCAGGTGTCTTGCTTGGCTGTGGCTTGGGGGGCACTTTTTTCATTGCCATTGTAACTTCAAACAGTCACTAAATGAACTGTTGTAAATTGAGGACTATCTGTACTTTATCACTTTTTCCCTTTTTTGGTCATCAAGTTTTTGACACCTTGCTAAGCGACTGGTGGTACTCAGATATTGCCATATCCTAAAAGTGGTACAATGGGTGAAAAAGTTGAAAAACCCTGATCTAGACAAACTTAAAAAAGAAATGAAAAGTACATTTTTTAACATTGACTTTTAAACTGTCAAATGAAGAACATAAATTTCTCTTTCCTTAATCTCTAAACATTTCATTTCCAATTTGTAGCTGGCTATTTGCTTAAACTGAAAAACTGACACTTTTCAAGAATTTAGACAGCTGCCCATCTCTCTGAGGTAACTCTAGGTGGTACATATAACAAAATACAAATACTATAATTTACCAAGTGCCTGGAATTGGGGGGGGGGGTTATCTACTATCACTGAATAGCCAGTCAGTACAGTTAGAAGCTTGTTTGGATAGCGTAGTCTTATAGTAGAGAAATGAGTTCATCAGGTCACTGACCTAGAATGCCTGTATGGGAGGTTTTCTTCTAATTTCCAAGAAGAAACATTACTTTCAAGATGGAACACCTTGGACTGGTTTCAACCTTGTTCAACTCTCTGAGATAGTTATTAGATGGAGGTTCAACTATGAGGGTAGATACTCGGCAAGTTTATTTAAATAAGGTACCTTCAAGCCAGATCAAAGAAGCTGTGTGGATGAGCCCATTATCATATATAACAATTCATTAATGAGATATTAATATATATGCAACAACTATTTTAAAATTTGCTTTACTCTAATTAGTATATTTCTTCTGCCAATATCACATGTTTAACTGAAAAATAATAACTGCTCTAAATTTACAGACCATTTAAGACAGGGGTCCCCACCCTCTGGTCGGTGAACCAGTATTGGGCCACAGCATGCCAGCAACCAGTCCGCACAAACAAGCAAAGCTCCATTCGTGGGATACAGGCAGCACACAAAACCATGCCCCCTCCAGTCCGCGGAAAAATCTTTCTCCACAGAACTGGTCCCTGGTGCCCAAAGGTTTGGGGACTTCTGATTTAAGAAACACAATATAAACTTCAGCAAAAGAAATAAAATGATGGTCTCCTTACATCCTCTTGCTATCCTATGGCCCAATCTGAAGGTTTCTTTGCCTTGGCAGAGTTTACGAATATAGGAGCCAAACAGATCTGGGTCAGTGGCATGTTCTGTCACCATCTTCTCTTCGTGGATCATGTTGGTTTGTGGAAAATACTCCCCTTTCTGTAATCAAAGAATGCACTGAGAACTTGTTTTAACTCTGGAAAGAAACATCTCTTCAACAAGCCCAAAACTATGATTTTCACTTTTCAAGAATTTTTGATCCAAGCTTCAGTATATTACTTCAAGCAACAATAAGCCATTTGTATCACCTGAGGATAATGCAACCTATACACTGAATAACAATGGGATTAGAACTACAAAATGATGGCTATTTTGCATTTTTCTGATGATAATTCATCAATGCTGAGTAAGAATTTCTCAATTCATAACATTCATTCAAAAGTCAAAATACTACAGTGAAATATCAGGGTTCCATCAACCTACTACAGCTTTTCTAAGCTGGTTATTATTATTGGAACCACAAGGGAAAGCATTATCAGTTTCAAGGGTGTGCGCAATGGTTACAGAATATAGCTGTAATCAAATATAGAATAAAAAGGATTGTTTACTGACCTTTATATTAAGTGTCAGCTCCCAGAAATGCTTTAGTGGCATCACAATAGTAGTATTTAGCTCTCCAATGTAACATTTATTTACTACCCAATCATAATACGCAGTCAATCCCTGAAATCACACCAAATAAACAGATTAAAAACAAGTTGAATGTGCTCAAAACAGATTCAAGAATTCTTACAGAACAATCTGGGACGCTTAAAGCCTGTATATGATAAAGGTGACAGTTTTTGAATTGGACTAAAAATATTATGTTTCACGTCCCCACTCAATCTCCGTGCTCACTGGGTGATGTAGCGTCTCAGCCCAACTTCAGGCATTAGGAGTAGAAACCCAGAGACCATCAGTTCTAGTCCTGCCTTAGGCACAAAGCTAGCTGGGTGACTTTGGTCCAGTTACTCTGTTAGTTACTAGGAAGCTTTGGCAAACTACTTCCAAAAAACTTCTGCTAGGAAGACTGTAGGGACTATTCCAGGAAGTTACCCAGAGTCAATGCTAACATAAAGGTACCCCCACACAGCCCAACTTCACAAGTTTGTTGTTGCAAAGATTGTATTAGGAGACAAACCAATGACAGTCACTTTTGACACTCAGAGAAAAGGCTACTAGAATCATGATTTAACCTTTTATACCCTTCTCATAGAAAGCTGCTTTCCAGTTCCAGCTGTGGCCAGTCAAGAGCCAGAACAAAATAGAAACCCCCCCCACACACACACAAAGAAGCTATAAATAATAAATTGATCAGAAATTCTAGCAGCACATATCCAACTTAGGCCAATAAATTAAATTAAATAAAAAAAGATTAAGGTACATTGTTCACAATATCATCCCATTATACAATATGCTTTGTTCTGAGGCCCAAAATTTAGTTTAACCAGCCAGCTGAAGATTCCACTGACTAAAGACTGAAATATTCCACTGATGAGTGATGCCATGGTTATTACCAGTAAATATATGCCCAGATTGAAACCACACTACCTCCCAATGAAAGAAGCAGGATCTGGATCTCTTTTGTTTGTTTCTGCATGTCTTACAAAACTGTAAGAATTGTCAAAAGAAAATAAGTTTGATATGGCATTCCAAACAATTATATGCCTACCTACCAGGCTCCTTAAAATGCTTAAAATTGGTACGAGGCTCTCCCATATGAATATTTTGTATTATTACTGAAGTGCTGAGACAAACAGGGTTTTGTTAAAGTGGCAGAGTTAGGCCACCGTTTGATAATTTCAGATATTAAAGGGGACCTGTGACAGTGTTTGCTACCCCAGAAAGGCAATGGGACCCACTGATGGCCAATGTAAATCACCAGACTATCAAATCTCAAAAGGGCCATGTACTATACGGTTTAGACCCTGAATAACCAACCTTTTGGCTTGTTTAAGCTGCATTGAGCAAAGAGGAATTGTCTCGGGCCACATCTAGAATATGTAATTAATATATATAAATAACACAATAATGTTAAAAGTTTATGATCTTGCAAGGTTGCATTACTAGCTGTCCAGAGCTGAATGTGGCCCTGGGGCCATGGGTTGGACAAAGGGCCGGACAAACCTAGTTTAGAATGTTGGATGTCAGATGGCAAGACACATTCTAGTTACCACTCAACAATAAAATCTCTGCTTGATTTTTCCCAGTCCCCCATCTTTCAACCCAATTTCTATCTGAAATTCGTCATGCAAGTATATTGAAAGGAGTATTATATATGATATGAGCGCAAGGAAATAACTTACTAAAAAGTATTTTCTATACTTTTCTTTATTTCTATCTTGGACATTTCTATCAAAGCCTATGCAGCCTAATTTCTTACCTGCTGAAAATCATGGATAATGTCTGCAGGATGCCCAACATTGGGCCTTGGGATGCTGATCTCCTCATAATCCTCTCCAAGGTAAATCTTCACATCCTCATACACTGTCCTAATTTCAGATGAATCATCGAATTCAAAGTAATCACACTCCAAACCTCCTTCCTCATAATTGTAATACTCCGTCCTTTGCTAAAATTGTTTAATAAAAAGTTTTCAAGCATGATTGGCTGTGTTATTGTCTCATTTTTAAACTTTTTAAATATACAAATTCAGTTTGGATTGCAGAATATGTCAGAAACTTAAAACTAAGTGATATTTCATTCCCACTGACAACAATTCAGTATAAGAAATGTGTAACCAAGTGTTGATTTTATACATGCCCTCTGTCCTGTTTTTGTCTATCATTCTGTCTATCTGAGATCACTTCCGTCTGTCTCTCTATCCAGGTTCATACTTCTGAATATACCACCTGGTAGGATGCAATTAGCTAGGTTTTGCCTAGCTCTATAATGTATTTCCTCCAAATAAATCTCCCTTTACTGGAGCAGGTTACAAAACTCTCAGAAGAGAATCCATCATTTCTAAGCTTAAAAAAGCCCCACAAGATGGCACAATGAGATACAGAAAACTTTAACTCCTTGCTGGATGTACATATATTTGCAGTCCAAGTCTGGTAACTCTAATATACATGAGTGCCATTTTGGTTACAAAAAAGCAGCCCTAATTCTTTTCCTACCAGGTTTTTTTTTTTCTGCTTATTGGCAGAAGTTTTTTTCTATATTTTATTCAGTATCCAAAAGCCAGTTTAGTCTTTTAATTAAGGCAGAAACCAGGAGACCATGAGTTCTAGTCATGCCTTAGGCATGGAAACCAGCTGGGTTAAGCTTGGGCCAGTCACTCTCAGTCCAATTCACCTCACAAAATTGTAGTTGTGGGGAAAATAGAGGAGGAAGGTTTGTTGGATATGTTTGCCACATTTGTTATTTATAAAAATAATAAAGGCAGAATAAAAATAAATATTCTCACATATAATTCTTGTAAACGTGATTGCAAAGAACAATTTGCAAAATGGATTGTCTAAATAGATCCATACTCCTTCTCTAAGCCTCCTAAAGCAGCTTTTCTGCAATTTTTCCAAAAGGGGATTCATCAGATTTGTACATATCATGCATATTATAAATGCCTCATCTGATATTCTGTATACCATATTTACTCAAATGAAGCATATTCCTCTTGCCCTTGTCGATTATATTTTTTAAGTGAAGAGGTTATTTTGGATCCAAATATAATAACACTGAAATGCCTGTTTTTACTGCTAGACCAAAGCATATTTCTTCCCAATGAGGAAGATGAGCAGGAAATAGAAATGGTAGGGAAGGCATATGTTGCTGCTGTTTTATTGAATGAAATTAGGCGACTGAGTGGGTTGAAGTAGAGAAGCAGTATTACACCCTCATGTATATCAGAAATGAGAGTAAATGGAAGGTGAAAAGCAAGTTGATACGGACAGGAATTATAGGCAAGCAGCAGTTACCATGCAAATTTTAAATTCATAATAATACTTAAGAGAAAATCCTCAAGCAAGGACAAGTCTCCAGGAAAAGTAATGGGGAAAGGCTGAAACTATCAAAACAAGGCTCTGTTTACTAAAACCCTTTGGAAATTATTCAGTGGACATATAGCAAAAGGCTTTCTCAATGTGAAACCATAAACATAGAAATTGTGCATTCACAGAAAGGGAATAGAAAACCAATTTTTCAGAAAACACAAGAAGTATTAGAGGGCAAAACTTCATGACCAGTTATTACTGATGAATATAAATTATAGTTTAATAGTCACATATTATCTATTTTATTTTATTTTATTTATTTTTATTTTATTTTTAAAATTTATAAACTGCCCCACTCCCGCAGGACTCTGGGCGGCTAACAATAAAAACACCATGAAACATGACAAAACAAACAGTACAATAACAGTCATCCAGGGGTCAGATTTTATAAACCCCAGGCCTGCCGGAAAAGCCAGGTCTTAAGCAGCTTACGGAAAACCAACAGGGTGGGAGTGGTCCTAATCTCCGGGGGGAGCTGGTTCCAAGACATGGGCGCCATCACAGAGAAAGCCCTCCTCCGCGGCCCCGCCAAATGGCACTGCTTGACCGACAGGACCTGAAGGAGGCCCAGCCTGTGGGATCTAACCGGATGAAGGGAACTATGAGGTAGTAGGCGGTCTCGCAAATAGCCTGGCCTTGAGCCATATAGGGCTTTAAAGGTAATAACCAACACCTTGAATTGGACCTGGAGACCAATAGGCAACCAGTGCAGCTCACGGAGGATAGGTGTAATGTGGGTGTATTGAGGAGCACCCACTATCACTCGCGCAGCTGCATTCTGGACCAACTGTAGTCTCTGAATACTTTTCAAGGGTAGCCCCATGTAGAGCGCGTTGCAGTAGTCCAGACGTGAGGTGACAAGGGCATGAGTGATTGTAAGGAGAGTCTCCCGGTCCAGGTAGGGTCGCAACTGGTGCAACAGATGAACTTGTGCAAAGGTCCTCCCAGCCACAGCCGTCAAATGATGTTCCAAATTCAGCTGTGGATCAAGGAGAACACTCAAGTTGCGAACCCGCTCCAAAGGGGGTATATTTTCCCCCGCTAGAGTAACACTGGACAGTCGACATGATCCTTGGGAGGCAACATCCAAAGCCACTCGGTCTTATCAGGATTGATGTTATCAAACATCATTTTGGCAATGTTTCTCTTCTGGCTATGCTGGGAATTATATGTTTGTAAATATTTGTCATATATGAAACATGATCTATCAAATATAGAAAATATATAAAGGGGGAACTTATGCTAAAACTACTTTGGCTATCTAAAATGGCAAACTCAGTCATCTCAGATTGCCATGTAGTTCAAGCAGACCAACGGAACAACTACTTTACAAGCTTTAATGTTAATCCTCCAATCGTGTGGAGGCTTTGAACCAAATCATACATACCATATCCATGCCCATGTGAGCAACTGAGTGAGTAAGAGATAAATATTTGTAGATGTATGTCGATGTTAAAATCAAGCCGAGCAGTAACAACAAAAATCCCAGGGCCAAAAAGAAGATGCAAGTAAGAGATCTCCAACTCTGCTGTGGCAAAGATAAGGGCTGCTTCTCCTGTTTAAAGAAAAGGGACAAGACTGCTAATTAATGGAATATCCTGAGCAGGATGGTTCTATGCCAAGCTTCTTTTCCATATTGTATACATCTGTTTTCTTTTATAACAGGCTTCCTAAGAAGGAAAAATAATATTTTAAAAGGTTATAAAAGATAAAAATATGCTTGAGTTGACATGACTTGCTGATCTCCTTGGAAAGTGGAAGAAACATAATAGGATCAGCTAATTTATTTTGATACTAAGAAATAGTATCAAATCTGATTCTTTTATTCTATTGATGCAGAATGTTTACAAATGTACATGAAACCTTCCTAAGTAGCCTAAACAAACAATGAACTGCCATTTCACATTCTGGTTCCTTAACTCATCTATTCTAATTTAACTTTGCACATTGCCTCAGACACATTTCAAACAAACAAATGATATCACTGTGTGTTCCAGTGTCCATGAGATCAGCCTACCCAATGATAAAACCAATTCAACATTGTAACAGCAAGCTACAGTGAAGTAATACAAAGAAGGATGTCTGTAAATAGCTTATCTCCCATCAACAATAATTAAAGTAGGCACAGCTTATGCTTTATATGTTTGTATTTATGTATGTATGCATGCATGTCTCTGTGTATTTTTATATATAATTTATGTATAATCATTACAAATTAGCATATTGCAATATAAGGAAAGAAGGAAAAAATCATAAATTTCAACAAATGAAATTATTTTTTGCTTCTGACTCCATTTTTTTCAGATTTTTTTTATCAATACTATCTGCCACTTTTTTTTCTAAGCACATTTCAAACATAAATTATGTGCTTCTAGAGCAGTGATGGCGAACCTTTTAGAGACTGAGTGCCCAAAACTGGCCCCGCCCCCACTCTGCCCCCCCATCCCCCACCCCGTCTGCCCACAGGACCACTCACTGCCTCCAGGGCCCGCCGCAGATCGCCCAGGCAGCCCAGCAGCACTATGGTGGCCACACCCTCTGCTCGCGCCCTGCAGCATCAACTGCATGATGGGGTGTGAGGGCAGAGTCTTGTCTACATTGCCTGGCTGCCATGTCCTTGGCTGTGCTGCTCCGTGTGGGCCATGCTCAAGGGTGAGTCTCCTTCAGGGGGGCTGCTGGAGAGGATGGGGTCGCGGGGGGAGGCAAGGCTGGGGCAACAGCACGTGTGCCCGCAGAGAGGGGTCCAAGTGCCGCCTCTGGCACCCATGCCATAGGTTCGCCACCACTGTTCTAGAGCATTTTTGGACATAACTTGCTTTGCAGGATGCTACTTTTAAATACATAAAAATAAATTAAAAACAGAACTTGCTGAGCACCAGAGAAACTGTCTGTGGGCATGCAGGTACTCTTGAGTGCCATAACTTCGATGTGCAGTCTTTCCAGAAAAGAAATTAGGAGAGTGATAAAATTAATATATACAATGATATCAAGTAGCCTAAATTTCCTCAATCATACACTAGTTTTTCCTAATTATGAAAAACATCTAGGCCATATTAAAATAAATTAATAGACAAGATTAGTTTTTTAAAATCTCTTCTCCACCTCATCCCCTCTTTAAAAAGATGGTAGTTCCTATAGTTCAAGAAAAAAACCTCAAGAGAACCATCTTTGTTGCTAATGTGATATAATCCTCCATTGTCAATCCAATTATTAGACTGCAACACAAAATATGAATTTTTGTTCAGGTGTGGGGCTAGTCCAGTTAATGTGTCAATATTCTACTTAAAGTTGTTTCCATTAGGTAGCTCTGTGAATGAATTTTGCATGAATGCAAAACATTTATTTTTATCAAGGGCTGACATATGACATCAATCAAAACACAGAGGGAATAGTTATAAATTCATCTCTAAAGACTTTGAATTTCTAGCAAATTTAGATTTAAAGACTTTCCTAAGCTATCTTCTCATTTCTGTAAGGAACAATTTCCAGGAAATATTGTACTAAAACAGTAATATGAAACTCTTTGTAATAAAATGTGTTACAGGTTCGGATTTGAAAATTATGTTGCCTGGATTGAGAGATTTATGTGCAAGAGTATGTGTGAGAAATTTAGCAAAAGGTCCTTACATGAAAACAAAAAAAAGACCTAGGGAGCAAACACAAAGCTTAATAAATATAAAAATAAATCTTTTAAACTGAATTTCATACTTCTTTTTTAGTCTACAGTGACAACCTTCTTCAACCTCTTTTAACTCTACAGAAGAGAACCCACATATGCAGTGTAGGCCTACAATCTATAAGCATAAACTTTTCTCCCAAATACAGGGGAAGAAATAGCACAAAACCTGACCTTCTCCATGTGTATGTTGTGGTGCCACATGCTTTGCCTCATTGTGAAATTACTCAAAACACCACACATGTAATTTTTGGCTACCAAAATTTCACCCACACATGGTCTAACCAGAATGTGCCTCCTAAAAATAAGATTAGTAGAGCTGGTTATATCTTTTAATCTCACCTACTAATGCAAGCACAATTCACAGCACAAGGCAACCACAAGACTTGAAAAAAAGCCATTGACATGGTCACATGCAAACTACAGAAGATGGAAAATTTACCTCTGCTTCTTTTAGATTACAGATGACAAGAACTAGAAATATTCTTAACTTGATTTCAGCTTAATGTTCTGCAGTTATTGAAATTTGTGGAATACAAAAATAGGTCCCCAACATGATAACAGTAGAGATATTATATAACAACACAAACAACAAAGAATGAAGTCAAGTTCCAATTATTTTTAAAAAAGAACACAGAGCAGCAGAACAATCCCTCAGAAGGCTGATAGAGAAAGTCCCCATGGTAACGAACAGACTTGCTTGCCCAGAAATCTTTGGCTTTTTTCCCTTGATTGTATAACTGGAGATATTCAAGTCTCTAAGAAGAACGGTAGTCATTCATCCATGTCAAAGAATCAGGAATACCGTAATCTGAAACATATATCATTCAAATTTGCCAAACCAATCCTAGAGTGGGAATAGAGAATCTAGCCAGAAGTTCACAGTATTATTCAAGGTCAGATATGGCTTTCACCAGAAGTATCCAATCTACCAGGTGAAATAATTAAGAACCCCGCTTTCTCTAACCTGGTGCCTTCTGAAATGCTATGGATTGCGATTCACGTGAACTCAGGCAACATGATACTGTGCAGGAATTGGAGTCACAAACATACAGAACAAAAGAGGGTTTGGGGAAGACTGGACAAGAACAGAGGAGACTGGAAGGTCCAGACTTCTGCTGGAGCTTCATCTGACTTATTTAAATGAAAGGTAATACAGTTTTTAAGTACCAAACAACCCATATCCTACCATCTTGTCACTGAGATACCAGGCTCTGATCATGATCTTTCAAAATACTTTTACATGTATACTTTCACAAGTACAACAAGGGGTAAATATTTGGAAGATAGAGATTTAATAAACTCCTATTGAGCAAATGTTGCTTGTGCTATCAAAGTTAACAGACTGGGAAACAGTTTGTCTAAATCCAGAGAGCTGCAGCTAATAATAATAATAAAGTTGGAAGGGACCTTGGAGGTCATCTAGTCCAACCTCCTGCTCAGGCAAGAAACCCTATACCATTTCAGACAAATGGCTGTCCAGTCTCTTCTTAAAAACTTCCAGTGTTGGAGCATTCACCGCTGTATATGGGCCTGGTTGCCAACTGTTACACTGCAGATGTAACTTGTAGAGGATGCGGTGTGGAACCTTTTCTAACCTCATACATTGATTTCATAAGCTCCCCTTATACCCAGCAGCCCATTTTCCACTATGCTGGCAGGAAGGATGGAAACAGATCAGCGGTGCCAGAGTTGAAGGTAGGGGATTTTTGGTTTGATTTGCTTCATTATTAGCTGAAACCAACAGCAGATACTTCTGGTTTTCTAGCATCCGTGTGGAAAGGAAAGGAAACGCTCACTATACTATGCTTGCTGGGGAAAGAGAATTATTCTCCAGTCGTCCTAGCCAGAGACAAGTCGTACAGCAGTAGCATTTTAAAAAAGACATGACTCCTTCCCTCTATGAACGGAATTTCTGTTCTGCCTCCGGGCTCTAATCGCTTGTGATGAAAGCGCTTTTCTTCAGTTCTACCGCCCGTGGGACCTACTTCAGTCTTACCTGTTTTACTCAAATACCGTAAGGCCATATTGCGCGATGCAACAGCCCCATCCTCGGAAAGAGTAATCGTCCAGAATCGCGTCTACGCTTAGCGCAACTTCAGTAACTGTGTTTAACACTGCAATACCATAATATCGTCGACTTCTGAGAGCGCTCATTTAATCATCATCATTAACTGAAATGCAAACCTTATCTGAAAATGCCAGCGCGCCTGTGGTCTCCTAGGTACTTACCGCATCCTGAGAAAGGACGAGGCCTTTTGCTGGGGCCCCAGGGCGCGTTGCAACCGCCGCCTCTTTCTCCGGCTTCAGTGCTGGTGTAACCGGCTGGAAGCCGATTTTCACCATGGCTCGACTGCAACTCCACCGGCTGTGCAACTCGCTCAAGCGTTTCTCACAACGCGCCGCGAAGATTGGGGCTTTTGAGATCCCGCCTCCGCGAAGAGAAGCGACGATCTACCCAGGCAGCTCCGTTTCTCCTCGGGGTTTGACTGGCGAAGACTCGTGCTCTCTTTGTAGAAGCCTTTAACTGTAGAGGCTCAGTCGCACGTGCGTCCTAAAAGCCCGCCTTAATTTTACTCGGAATGTTTAGCACGCAAGGCCGAGTCTGGGGATGAAAGCCGTGTGAAATCTGGCAATCCATAGGTAAAGGAGTTTAATAAAATCCAGTAAAATCTTTCAGGATAAAAACCAGCTACCTAGAATGTCAGTCTAATTGACACACAGTAGGAATTCGAGAGCATGAAAAGGGCCAGCCTGTTTTTTTTTACTGAAACACTAAAATTGTTTGCTACTTGTCTACTTGCCAGTCATCTACATACTGCTAAACTGCTATTATTACTACTTATTATTTAATGAAGGGGGGAGAGAGAGATTGGAATTGATGCTATTTATTTATTTTATTTATTTACTTACCAATTTCATATACTGCTCATCTTGCAGTTCAAGGAGACTGGCAGCTTATAACATAATAAAACATGGATGTAAAAAGTAATTATAAATACAAACAGATTAAAATTACAAAAGGTTAAAACAAACTAAAAAAAAATCAGAGCTATAAAGTGGAGAGGTGGCAGTGACTTCTCTGTTATTATATTAGCCACTTCCAGCCAACAGCTTCTTCGGGGCCCCGTGCCAACCACCATAGCCAAGTTTTAAGGCATTTCTTGAAGGCCAGAAAGATGGGTGACCCTCACTTCCTGTGGCAAATTGTTCAGGGTGGGGGGGGGGATATGACAAAAAAGGTTCTTCACTAGGACCCCGCCAGCTGTTTGTTTGTTTTGCCAGCATTAGTGGTTAGGTCAATCCCATTTAAGAAAGACAGCTCCTCAGATATCCTGGCTATAAAGGGCATTAAAGGTACTGACCAACATCTTGGATTGGAACCAGAAGCAAATCTACTGCCAGTGGTTTGTGTAACGGTTGTGCCACCCTAGGGATCTCCAAAAGTGTCCATGCTGCTGCATTCTGGACCAATTGTAGCTTCTGAATACTCTTCAAGAATAACCCCATAAAGAATGCATTGCAATGGGAAATGACCAGTAACTGAGCATAGAGCCTCATGGTCCAGAAAAGGGTGCAGTTGGTGTACAATCCAAAATTGTGCAAAGGCTCCCCCAACCACAATACGAGCAGGAGTCGCAAGTTTAGATGAACCCCAAAGTTCTGAATTGGGACTGTCTGGGCACTGCCCTCCTATCCAGAACTAAAGATGGTAAACCTCTGGATTCCAAGTATCCACTTCTGTCTTAATCAGGGTTCAGCTGAAACCGGTTGTTTCCCCAACCAGATTTGGAAAGGCAATTTTATTTGTTTTGCTTACCTACTTGGTTTGGAATGCTTGTGTTGAAGGCTTTGTATACTCAAGGTGGGTATGATTATGTTGTTGTGTTTATAATATTTATAGAAGTTTAAATTCTAACTTGGAATTAAGGAATTGGGGTTGTCTTATAAATAGGGACAAGTGTTATTTCAACTTTTAAAACAGGAACTGAAATTATTTTCTTACAGAACATTTTATAATCCTTCGAAGAATAAACAGCTTTTACAAAAAGCTTGGTGGGATAGATACATATAAGAGGTCAGTAATTCTTAAAAGCACAAGAGATTCAATTCAATTTCTGTAGCTACTTATCTCAATCAATGACTTTGGGTGGCTTACAATTAAAAAGTACTACAATTAAAACATTTTTTTAAAAAAAAATCAAAAATAAATATACAGAGCAACCAAGATACTTGGCCTATTAACAATAAAGCCAGGAAACAGGGCCCTTAGCATATTTAGCCTCCCAGGGCTCAGGAACATAGTCAGGTTTTTAGGGCTGTGCAAAAGGTTAATAAGGTTGGAGCCATTCTAATCTTGGATGAGAGGATATTTCCACACTGATGGCTAAGGAAGAGCTGTCAGATGAAAACCATTTTTAATAGTATTAATTCATTTCAAGACTATTAAATTCATTCAGATTTTCCATAATTTGTACATAATTATTTTCAATGTTTGTATAACAAGAATCCTTCATGGATTACTGCCTTGTCATGGCAAAGGGGCTTGCATAACTCAATGAAGCTATGAGCTATGCCGTGCAGGGCCACCCAAGTCGGACAGGTCATAGCAGAGAGTTCTGACAAAATGTGATCCACTGCAGAAGGAAATGGCAACCCACTCCAGTATCTTTGCCATGAAAATCCCATGGACAGTACCAAAAAGCAAAAAGATATGACGCTGGAAAATGAATCCCTCAGGTCAGAAGGTGTCCAGTATGCTATTGGGGAAGAGCGGAGGGCTAGTACTAGTAGCGCCAGAAAGAGTGAAGCGACTGGGCCAAAGCTGAAAGGATGCTCAGCTGTGGATGCATCTGGTGGTGAAAGAAAAGTCCAATGCTTTAAAGATCTTTTCTCCATAGGAATTTGGAATGTAAGATCCATGAATCAAGGCAAGCTGGACGTCGTCAAACAAAAGATGACAAGACTGAACATCGACATCTTAGGAATCAGCGAACTAAAATGGACAGGAATGGGTGAATTTAATTCAAAGGACCATCAGGTATACTACTGCGGGCAAGAATCCCTCAGAAGAAAAGGAGTAGCTTTCATAGTCAATAAAAGAGTAGGAAAAGCAATACTGGGATACAAACCCCAAAATGACAGAATGATCTCAGTGCGAATCCAAGGCAAACCATTCAATATCACAGTAGTCCAAGTCTATGCCCCAACCACTGGTGCTGAAGAGGATGAAACTGACCGGTTCTATGAAACCCTACAGCACCTTATAGAATCAACACCAAAAAACCATCATGGGAGATTGGAATGCTAAAATAGGAAGCCAAAAGATAACTGGAATAACAGGCGAGTTTGGCCTTGGAGTACAAAATGAAGCAGGGCACAGGCTGATAGAATTTTGTCAAGAGAATATGATGGTCATAGCAAACACTCTTTACCAACAACCCAAGAGATGGCATCACCATGGACATCACCACACGGTCAACACAGAATTCCAGAGAATAGCTAGAAGAGATAAGAATGGCCTCTTAAATGAACAGTGCAAAGAAATAGAAGAAAACAATAGAATAGGAAGAACCAGAGATCTCTTCAAGAAAATCGGACATTTTTCATGCAAAGATGGGCATGATAAAGGACCAAAATGGCAGGGACCTAACAGAGGCAGAAGAGATTAAGAAGAGGTGGCAAAATTACACAGAAGAACTATACAAGAACGAGCTTAGCGTCCCTGATAACCATGATAGGGTGGTCACTGACCTCGAGCCAGACATCCTAGAATGTGAAATGAAATGGGCCTTCAGAAATCTGAGCAACAACAAAGCTAGTGGAGGTGACAGCATTCCAGCTGAGCTATTCAAAATCTTAAAAGGCGATGCAGTAAAAGTGCTACACTCAATTTGCCAGCAAATTTGGAAAACTCAGCAGTGGCCACAGGATTGGAAAAGGTCAGTTTACATTCCAATTCCAAAGAAAGGCAATGCCAAAGAATGTTCAAACTATCACACCATTGCACTCACTTCACATGCTAGTAAAGTTATGCTTAAAATCCTACAAGCTAGACTCCAGCAGTATGTGGATCGAGAACTACCAGAAGTACAGGCAGGATTTCGAAGAGGCAGAGGAACTAGAGATCAAATTGCCAACATATGCTGGATCATGGAGAAAGCTAGGGAGTTCCAGAAAAACATCTACTTCTGCTTCATTGACTATGCTAAAGCCTTTGATTGTGTGGATCACAACAAATTGTGGCAAGTTCTTAAAGAGATGGGAGTAGCAGACCATCTCATTTGTCTCTTGAGAAACCTATATGCGGGTCAAGAAGCAACAGTGAGAACTGGACACGGAACCACTGATTGGTTCAAAATTGGAAAAGGAGTCAGGCAAGGCTGTATACTGTCGCCCTGCCTATTTAACTTATATGCAGAGCACATCATGAGAAAGGCAGGGCTAGATGAATCAAAAGTTGGAATTAAGTTTGCCGGGAGAAATATCAACAACCTAAGATATGCAGATGATACCACTCTAATGGCAGAAAGTGAAGAGGAACTAAAGAGCCTCTTGATGCGGGTGAAGAAGGAGAATGCAAAAGTTGGCTTGAAACGCAACATTAAGAAAACCAAGATCATAGCATTCGGCTCTCTCAATTCCTGGCAAATAGATGGGGAAGAAATGGAAGTAGTGACAGATTTTATCTTCCTGGGCTCCAAAATCACCACAAATGGGGACCGCAGTCAAGAAATTAAAAGATGCTTGATCCTGGGGAGGAAAGCTATGGCAAATCTAGACAGCATACTAAAAAGCAGAGACATCACGCTGCCAACAAAAGTACGTATAGTGAGAGCCATGATTTTCCCAGTTGCAATGTATGGCTGTGAAAGTTGGACCATAAGAAAGGCTGAGCGCCAAAGAATTGAGGCCTTTGAACTATGGTGCTGGAGAAGACTCCTGCGAGTCCCCTGGACTGCAAAGCGATCAAACCAGTCAGTCCTAGAGGAGATCAAACCTGACTGCTCTTTAGAAGGCCAGATCCTGAAGTTGAAACTCAAGTATTTTGGCCACCTAATGAGAAGGAAGGACTGACTTGAAAAGAGCCTAATGCTGGGAAAGATTGAGGGCAATAGAAGAAGGGGACGACAGAGAATGAGATGGCTGGATGAAGTCACTGAAGCAGTAGGCGTGAACTTAAATGGACTCCAGAAGATGGTAGAGGACAGAAAGGCCTGGAGTCCATCAGGTCGTGATGGGTCGGACACGACTTCGCAACTAACAACAACAAGAAAGTGGTTCATGTACTGGGATAAATTTTACTGTTGGAGGGATTCGAGGAGGACGGTTGGGATTAAAGGTTAGCGTTAAGATAGAAATATATGTTATTTTAGAATAAGAACTGTATAAAAAACTTAGATGTACAATTATAGATGAAGAATCGATTGTAAAATGTGGAACAACTTGATAAGAATGTATATACTGGAATGTCACGTTACATCCAATGTTTTTTAATTGTATTATAAATAAAATTTTGTTTTAAAAAAA